TGTAGTAGAGCAATCAATAGGTACAAAGGCATAATTATTATTAAAATTCTATTTCTGCCTATTATCATTTTCTGCAAAGTAGGGTTTGAAATCTGTACTATTTTTATGAATTATTATTTTTTATTAATTAACGTTTATAATTATTAATTGAACTATTAATTATTATTATGGTTGAACTCAACCCCCTTGTTACTTTAATTATTTGACAACCCTACTTTTTCTTATTTAATAGAAATTTTTTTTATTTACTTGTTTCCATACTTTTTATTAAATGTTATTAATTAATAATCCTTTTTATTAATAATTACAATTTTTGCCTTAGTTATCAGTTCATTGCTAGAAGAAAAGAATTTTGAAATAAAAACTATAAGAAGACCTATCGCATTTTAAAAACATTTTTCATACAATTACTATTTATTAATTTTTTTAATATTTGAATCATTAATTATATTCATAGCCTAGCTATTAATTATTCATCATTATTGACCATTAATACTAAGATCTATTTCCTGTTCTGAAACTATTTAAGTTTACATTCTGATTCAATTTCAGTTGCCGTTTTGCTCTCAAGTTAACTACTATAACCTTCTTTTTTTAAAGAAGCACTGAAGTCAGTTCAGTTACAAATTAAATAAGCTCTCAATACATTTTCTTCTTATTTGGTAGCATACTTTATAATGGATGATGCTGGTGATAAGCACATAGTTCATCCGCCACCACCAGTAGCTGGAGATGGAAGGCCTCCACCACCACCATCACCTCCAGCACTCCCCATTCCAGTCCAAAGAGCTGGAGGCCAACCGGTGCTCGCTCCTAGAGTGGCACCGGTGCTCCCTCCTGGAGGTGCACTGGTGTTCCCTCCTGGAGGAGCACCGGTGCTCCCTCCTGGAGGTGCACCAGTGCTCCCTCCTGGAGGTGCACCGGTGCTCCCTCCTGGAGGTGCACCGGTGCTCCCTCCTGGAAGTGCACCGGTGCTCCCTCCTGGAGGAGCACCGGTGCTCCCTCATGGAGGAGCCCCTCCTGCCCCAGGACTGCCTTTGCTTCAACAGCAAAGGCAGCAGATAATAGCCCAGCTGAGGGCTGTGAATAGACAGATTGTAAGTCTTTACTATGATGTACTTAATATTGTCATTATATTCCGTAATAGTATGCCAATCTACCAAGGAGAGCTGGCAGGGGCAGGGGCCGCAGGCCGAGGCCCTGAGGGGCCGTAAAAAAAAACTATAACTTCATTATAATAATAGATGTTAAAAAATAATCAAACTATGAATTAAAAATACATCAGCGTTAAGCCAGGAAGAAAATACATGAGTAATGCCAAGTGTTTGACAAGACATAAATGCTTATTTCCTTTAGTTTCTTTCAATATTTCTAGAAAAAAATTCACACTATCGTAATGCATGATTTAAAAAAATTAAATCTAACCTAATAATCATTATTATGGACATACTGATTACGTACATAAACATGCACAGTGCCGTCATTCATAATCTACAAAAATAACACATGAATGCTTTCCAATATGTAAACAATTGTTGTTTGTTAATGAGAACATGCATGCACATAATAATATTATTAAAATAAACTAACAATCATCAACGAAAGATGTACTAGCAAACAACAATTTATAGTAATATACCTACTGTGGCCATGCTTATATGACATACCCATCAAACAAATATACATGTACATGTAACCTTGAATCATACCCTATGACAAAATACATAGGACACTTTGGAATCTCACAATATTTAATCTTACTACATATTCCATTCCTTAGACTACAGTAATGTAAAACCTATGCAGGCACCTCCTGCATTGTGATACAACTACTCATCAAGGACCTACAATAAAACATTAAGTTGCATTTAATAAATGAATAAATTTTAGTTA